TATTCAAAACCATATGTACTAATAACAGGATCACTCATAATGGCCAAAAAGTGGAAACAACAAAATACTTAGATGAATGGATAAACAAAATATGATAAATTCATACAATGGAACATTATTTGGCAATAAAAAGAACTGAAGTACTGATACTTGCTACAACAAAGATGAACCTTGAGACATTACGTTGAAACAAAGAAGCCTGAAACAAAAGTCAGATGCTAGATGACTTCATTTAAAAAAAGTGTGGAGTACAGGCAAAGTCTCAGAGATTCAAGGTCCCCAGGAGCTGGAGGGAAGAGGAAGTGGGCAGTAACTGCTGAGGAGCTCAGGGTTTCTTTTGGTGTTGAGAAAAATGCTCTAAAATCATGGTGATGGTCACACAATAAAAGCAATTGCACTGTCTATTTTTAAAGGATGACTTTATAGTATATGAGTTATATCTCAATAAAGGCATTATTTTAAGTCAATTAGTATATAACTTGCAAGCTGCAGTGTCAACAAAACAAGATACATAGATCAGAAATAGCCCCTCATGTATATAAAAAAATTAATATACTATGAAGGATGAATAATAAATAGGAAGCAATAGATTATTCAAGACATAGTGTAAAAAATAGCTTTTGCTGAAGAAAAATCAAACTTAGATATTCAAGACCACATAGCCAAATAAATCCTGTTCAGATTACTGATTTGGACATATAGAGAAACTAGATACAAACTTAAGACTATTTATTGCCCTACAAAGGGAGATAGACTTTCTCAGCATAAAAGCAACAGAAGCAGCCACAAATTAGGACATTGAAGGATATCCTACCTTAAAATATAAATAAACAGCACAGAACAGGAATGCCTACAAAATTTAAAGGGCAGCAATAAAACTGAACAAAACATATGTAATAAATTCTTCACACTAGTGTTTAATATTTTTACCTAAAGAGATCACTAAAATGGATGAGTCTCTAATTGGAAAATGAATAAGGAATACTAACAGAGAAGAGGATCAAATAGGTAATAAATGTTCAATTTCATAAATAATAACAAACTTTGAGGGCATTTTTCCACCTATCCAACTGGAAAATGTTTACAAGTTGGTGCTGTAAGAAAGAGAGAAAGATGAGTTAGAAACTCTTTCAGAAGTGCAAGTAGGTACAGAGCAGGTATGCCAAATGGAAGATGTTCTTTTAAAATGTAATACCTGAGTATACGTGCACCAATATTTCCTTGTCTGTCTAGAGTACAGGATTAAAGTGAGGGATTTTTGTGTGTTCTGTTCTCTGCTGTTATCCTCATGATCTAGAATAGTCCACCACATAGTATATTATAAATACATTTTATGCTTTAAAATCATTAATCATCTGATATGTTTCTCGGAATCTATGCTAAGAAAAAAATCAGATATGTAAACAGTACATGCACATTGAGGGTTTTTGGCCAAATGTTTATTGAACTTTTACTGTGCACCTGGGTCTCCTAGGTAATAATTATAACAGCAGAAGAGAAAACAGACAAAAATCTCTATTTTCTGGACAGACAACAGACATACACTCTACTCAGGGTAGTAAGGGCACTGGAGCAACCAGGAGAGGGCATCCACAGAAAACCCTCTTCTTTCCATTCTTGAGGTCCTTCTCCAGTGTGGGTATCCTCCCGAAGTATTAGAGAGAGAGAGATGCATCCTCACATTGTTCACATTTAGCTTCCAGAAGTCTCTCCATGAGCCTGTTCCCCAGGTTTTGCAGCATATGATCATCCAATCATTCTCTTTCTGAGCCTCTGACTTGCCAATCCTGAGTCTGAGTAGACAGTGGTCCCCGTATGGTTTCACTTACTATGACTTGGGGGTCTACTGTGGTCCAAAAGTATTAAACAAAAAATTCTAAAAATAAACAAGTCATGCATTTTAAATTTATACCGTTCTGCGTAGCATGATGAAATATTGTACGTACTGTCCTGCTCCATTCTCAACCAGTAATGAATCATCCTTTTGCTAAGCGTATCCATGTTGTATATGCTCCTCACCCATTAGTCATTTAATAATCTCAGTTATCAGATTAACATTTGTGATACTGCAGTGGTTGTGTTCAAATACTTTCTATTTTACCCCAAAGCACAAGAGTGGTGATCATGGCAATTCACATATGCCAAAGAGAAGTTGTAAAATGTTCCTCTAAGTGGAAAGATCAACATTCTTGATTTAATATCTACATTAAAAATGAATCTTCTACCCATAAAAGTCTGAAGAAGAAAAGAGAAATTTGTGCTAGTTTTGCTGTCACAATTGCAAAAATTATAATGACATTGTAAATGCTTAGTTAAGATGAAGAAGGCATTACATTTGTGTATTTTGTATAAGCAAGAGTAGTGTATATAGAGCTCAGTATAACCTTCAGTTGCAGGCTTCCATTGAGAACCTTGGAATGTGCCCCCTTGGTAGGGGTCAGGGCTACTGCACCTCTTAGCTCCCCTCCAGCCAATGTAAACAGGCAAGCACACCACTGCCTCTCCATTATGGGCAGACTTGCCCTCATTGTTGATTGGGGGGCACCCCTGAGTAGGGCTGCAGCATGGCAGCAATCTGCTTTGGGTTCACACCCTCTTCTTTCATGCTCATCTGTCCATGAGGCTGCGGCTTCCTCTTCTCTTTGTTGATGGGAGGTCATGTAAAGATCTGGTTTCTGCAGGACACAGCTCCTCTGCTGAATGGCGCTGAGGGAATGGTCACTACATCTGCTTGCTGCAGATTTGCAGGGTCCTCCTTGGGAGCACTTCACCACCCTTCAAACAACTGGTCTCAGACCTAGAAATGGATGACAGGCCACGATTTGTCATTACCATGCGTGACTTCAGTCCTCTCTTTATCAGCTCTTGATTTTTTTCCACTTATACAAATCAAGCTATGCCCTAATAGGCTACTGTACCCTCTATTGCCCTTGGACCATCATGGTCTATTTGCCATTGATTTAGCTTGTATTAAGTCCAAGTACTGTGATTGTTCCTAGGGCTAGGGCCTTGCCCCTCCCTTCTAGTGACTATGCTCCCTCATACTTGTGATTAAACACTGACCCCTGGCTATGGTAAGTCTCAAGCCTATATTTCCAGTTCCAGGGTGCCGCCTCATAATGTCACTACTGTCATGTAATCACACTGAGTTTTTGAGAGATTTCGCTCCACCTGAGCAATATACAGAATATTCCTTATGGCTGAGTGAGAGTGCCCACGCACCTTCCCAAGGAAAATGACTGTGTAATGTGCTCTCTCTCCTCACATAATAAATCCAAGAAATTCTTCCCGACTCTCCAAACCTTCCCCCTGTCACTTCTCTCCCAAGGTTGCTCCAGCATCTCCATGGAATGAAGCCATCATTGTTTCCAAGTCTCAGAAGATGATCCCAACCAAAGGTTAGAATCGGCTCCTATGTGTCTTTGCCATGATATTAGATCTAGAATCAGGAGACCTAGTGCAGGAGAATTCTCCTGCATTAAAAAATGTTTTCCCATTGAGCCATACACTTTATATTCTTTGTGCTGCTCTGGTTCTGACACATGCGAATCCTCCTGACCCAACAATTCTGCAGGCACTAAGCTATTTCCTCCAAGAGCAGGGTTTGCATCCCTGTTTAGACATCGAAGGCCTGACTATTGATATGAAGCCAACAGAAGGAAGTAATGCAGCTCTTGAGGAGAACAGCAACCATATCTTAAGCCATCTGTATGAGACAAAGCCTCTTCTTGGGTTTCCAGCCAAGGGCAGCTTCTTTTGTCTACCAGTGTGAATGGGGGCTGCTTCTGTCACCATGGAAAATGCAAAGGAATCTGGGGATCTAAGAAACTGAGACACTCTGTTGAAAAGTCCTATCCCAGGTCTCAGGATCTCAGTCTTTCCTGAGCCCTGACTTTGACACTGGAGACCTCTTGAAGCTACACATTCAGTCTCATTTGCAGATTTTTCTGCCCTTAAAATTAAATGCCTGGCTTGACTTCATATACAGTCTTTCCTGCTACAAGAGTGGCATATCTCTTTAAATCATATAGTGAAGGCATTCTGACTCTTACGTGGTATAAGGTGATAGCTGACCTGAACCTACTGTTTTCATTTTTAAAAGCTTCCCCAGAAATCGATAATTTTATCCTAATAATCTCCACTGCCCCCATGGCATTCAGGCATTATAGCCACTGCATAGTTCACTTTCACTTGTACTCACTCATCCCTGCTGGAACTTTTAGTAATTTTGATAGTATATCATGCTATGTTTCATCCACATTCCACCTAATATAACCAATAAGGATTTGCTTTCTAGGGGAATTTCCAGTTACCTCCCAAAGCAGTGTCTATATCTAGGACTTGTGTGGAGAATGATTATTTGGGAGAAATTGCTATGGAGCAGGCTGGGGAGACCGGGAAAGTGAAACAGGGAAGGAAGCGGAGAGTCAGTGGAAGAGTACAGTATGTGAGAACATGGCACTGTCCACGAGAAGTAAATGAAAGCAGGTGTTCTAGTCACAGAAGCTAGAGCTGAAATTTGTATGTGGCAGGCAAAATAATGATTCCCCAAGGACACCCTCATCACAAGACCTGGAACTGGTGAACTCTACTTTATAGGAAAAGTCCTTTCCCTGATGTGATTAAATCAATTATCTCAAGATTGGGGTTATCCTGTCTCTCCTGGGTAGACCCCAAATGTAATTACAGTGTTCTGAAAGGGAAGCAGAGTGAGATTTGACTACAGAGAAGGTGATGTGATGTTGTTGGAGGAAAAGGTCATAAGACAGGGAACATGGGCAGCCACTAGACCCTGGGAAAGATAAGGAAGTGGATTCTCCTCCCAGAGCTCCAGAAGAAATCAGCCCTGCTGAAACTTGACTTCAAGCCAATGAAACTGATTTCAGATTTCTGATTTCCAGAAGAGTAAGAGAGTAAATTTTGTGTTGCCCTGAACTAGGAAGTCAATGGTACCTTGTTGAAGAGGCAATAGGAAGGAAGCACACTGCTCGCAGGTAGGACCCAGGGCGGCTGACACGCCCCTGTGCAAGCACCCCCAGGAACAAGACCTCCTGGACTGGTCCAGGCAATTTCCCATTGAGTCACACACCACTATGTGTGTGGAATTTCCTTCCTCTAAATCCCTCTTTGTGCTAAGCTTATATGGTTGTATTTCTTTTGGTTTCCTTAACATTTTCTTAGAGGATTTTACAGACTCGCCAATGTAATCTATTAATCTTTTCTCGGAGCCCTGTTCATTTCCTTCGTGATACTTTTAATTTGCTTGTATTTATGTGTCTGCCTACCAGTGCGCTCTGCCTCAGCCTCCAGGACTGAGGTTGTCACCACCATTTTACCCTGACTGCCTAACAGAGTAAACACCCAGAAGTCATTTTTGACTGATTATTTAAGTGAATAACACTCAACTGTTTTTGTACGCAAAATAACTGATTTCAGTTAAGGCCTTCTGGTTGAAATTGTTTTGTTGCCAAACCATCAGTACTTAATACAGGGCCTGGCACAGAACGGCTACATAGTAACACTTGTTGAAATAATTAAATTCATGAAGCTTGGAGAGGTGGCTTAAAATTTACTTTCAATAGTACCAAATGTGAAGTCACGCCAAATGAACATGTAAAACACGAAATTCAATTAGTTCAAATCAAATAAAAATCAATCCCAAAACTCTTACTAGCCAATAGACGTACTGTGACCTCCAAGATAAAATAGTGAATATCCTCAATCTCTCAAATATAGCTTTTACCAAGTAAGGAAGTTATTGGTAGTCTTATCTTCAAAATTTAGACACCCCACATTAGGCTACCTGTCATATTTGTAAACCTAGTAGGTAAGAGTGAAATTTTTTCCCCCTCTATATTCATCCCTTACTTAGTGAGTAATGAGACTCCCAGTCCCTCCAACTTCAGGGATGAGAAACATTTTCCCCTTCCTCATCTGGCCTCCTGAGGACCCAAAAGGAGGAGACACTCTTGCAACAGGTTATCTGGGCTCCAACCACCATGGTGAGGCTGGGTCAGCCCATTTGCTCTGCAGATTCAGATACCCAAAGGTGGGCACAGGTGTGCTACCCTTTGAAACTTAGGGCAAGGAAAAGAAAGGCCTATTTTGACTCCAGAACTATGTCGCAGTCTCCAAATGCCAGATATTCCTGTTCTTTGAGAATTACAGTAACTCCATTCCTTTGATAGTTTGATCTTCAACTGATTATCAGTTCAGTGTGCTTATTCATCATTGGTCTAAACTGGGAAGACAATGGAAAGGTGAAGTGAGTGGCATCCACCAGCTGTCCACAGTGCGCCTGAGGGAAGCAATCCCATCCTCCACCATTCTGTGTGACTGAGTACCCTTCCCTCTGTCCCTGATCAACACTACACCCCCGAAGGCATTTCTCTGCCCCAAACCCAAACCAGTTTGGCTGGCGTCTTGGTACTGCTCACGATCCTGTCTTCCCTACCTGATGTTCGTGGCTGGGATGTCTATTGGCTGGGATGTCTATTGGCTGGGATCATTTAAAATTCATTCAGCAAGTACTTACTCTGTCCCAGACACTGAGCTAGGTCATAGAGATGAACAAGATATATTCTCTCATTTAAGAAGCCCTTACCCAGAAAACATTCAGATATTTTGCAAATTAAAGAGACTAATACTTTGTTTCTATGGACCATGATACAAGGTGCCCAAAAGAAAACTAAGTGCACCTCTAAAGAGGGTTTGAAGGAAGTCATCAGAAGACCAAACACTTGCCCTGAGTGTCAAGAGCTAAGGAGATTTTCAAAAAGCAGAGAAGCTCGTAGAGAAAGAGAAATACAAGGCACATGTGTGCAATTGCATGTGCCCCTAAATGGGCAGGGTTATTGAGGAGACCGCAAGCTTAGCAATTAAGCATGAACTGAGTGGGACAGGAAGCACAATAGGGTGAGGCCCAAGAGGCAGACAACATCGGTCATGGAGTAAGTGCCCACTGAAGGACTCTCAAGCACACACATCTGCTGATGCTTAAGCTCTTCTCCAGGCTGGAAAGGTAACTGACAATAATTCTATGAGACTTAAAAATCTCATTTTAAAATGCTGTGGTTTGAAAAACTAGATGCACATTCAGACTGAGATACCAAAACTGAAGACAGTCTTAAGGACCAAGCCTACGGAGTAGGTGCTATGGGGAGGCTGAAATTGCATCTGCATGTGGAGGAGTAGCCAGCCACCTGCTGGTCCCATTGCCTTCCTTTTTTTTTTTAACTACTTGCTATGGCTTGTGTTTAGATGTACCCCCAGAGCCTCATGCTTTTTCAGAGGTGGCTGAATCTACAGTGTGTGATTAATTCCTGGAGGGGTTAGGTCTGAGGGCACCAGGATTAAAGACATGAGTGCTACGCATCCTGAGTAGTCTGAATAGGATAAAAGGGGCACAAAGACTCTATTAAGGTTCTTCGTTGTTTTGCTACCATGTGGGTGCCATGAACTGTTTCCCCTCTGCGATGCCTCTCTGCCTTGTAGCACTCTGCCTTGGAGCCAGCCATTTATGGACTGAAACCTCTACTAACTGTAAGCTAAAAAACCTTTCCCCTTTAATTTGGGTGTCAGGTATTTTGTCTTAGCAGCGAGAGAGAAAAGTAACTAACACATTGCTTCTATATTCCATATATCA